AAGACATGCTGTTTTTAGTGAGTTTTCAGTTTTGTTTCTGTCCACTTTGAATAAGGTTAAAATGTTACAATGATAACTGATGTCATCTCTGGAGTATTATGAGCAGCAGGCTGTTCCTGGTTGAACAAAGACGTCTGTGTCTTGAAGGATCCTTTCCATAATGTTCTCAGACTTATGGATAGACTTAATAACAATCTGAGCCTGTCATTAGCAAAACAAGCACTTTTAGTGGATGTACACTGAGGGACGCATTTGTCTCCAAGGATTAATGTTATCTTACACTGCAGCCATTGCTGCCCTTTTCACAAATATTTCCACATCTAACTCTGTAAATGAAGGACTAATTTCAACCAAACCAACGTTGGTGTTTGTTGGAAAGACTGTGAAACAACAATGGTTTTTGTGAGTTTTATGTCCCATCGTTTTGGTCAGAAATGCTGGTGTTTTAGATCGACATCCAGTGGAAAGTGAATTTTGTATATGTAACCTTTAAAGTGATAGTTCAATGTTTACTGAAATATGCTTATTTTCATTCTTGTCGAGAATTTGATTAGATGAATGATACCACTCATATCTGTATCCTAGAGCCAGCCAACAGTTGGCTTAGCATAAAGACTGAAAGCAGGGAGAGACAGCTAAATCTGCCGAAAAGTGACTTTATATCATTTCTGTTTAATCCAAAACCTAAGTGGAAAAAAATGCAGGTTGTGGTTTTATGACACGTTCCAGACTATTTTCTGCTCTTGTTGTCCCTTTGCGGTTGCCAGGTAACCAGCGGAGACAGCAAATATCATTTAACTGGCCTCTCAAACACACAAACTGTCTAAATGTAGTAAACTTTATATTTAAGGTAGAGTACAAGTTTAATTTTTAATAGTACATTTGTTGTAGTAGTTTATTATCCCACTGGCGTTTTTTAATCTCTCTGCATTTCAAATTCATTTAATACCCAATCTCTCAAATGAACAGAAAACATATGTCCTGCGTTGATGCAATATTTGCCTTGAACGCCGATATACTGCAATACAAACAGTTTATGCTGTAACCTGTGTAATTGCTCTTCACACATAGATTTTTCAATAAAACAGTAATTACTGAGCAAAATCCCAGCTGTCCCATTACATGCACATGGGTTGTCACGTTACGGGAAGATGATTAATCACACAAACAGTTGCTCATTTTTAAATACATCCTTAATGCATTCTTTTGCCTCAGAGGCTATATATCACCTATTTTCCACCTTCAGTGTTTGATGAAGGTATAAACTTTTTACAATCCTCTTGGACCCTTGTTACGCAAGGTGTATATGTGGTGTATTTTTTTATTAATGTCCAAAAAGTGTGTGTATGTTGTGGGTTGACGCCGAGGCCATCTCTACAGGTGTCATATCTGAAAAAAGGGTCAGGTGATGTTGTAACTCACTCTGGTTCACCTCCCGCCGCACAGAAAGCACAGTAATAAATTCAGAGTCAGGGACCTCTTACATTTCGCCGTTGCACTCCTACCTATACCTGTTGTCATTCACTATTTTATCCTCACAACCCTTACCTGCTCATCCCTCTCTCCTCAGAGCAAAATTATTTTCATATGCCTCTCTCAATCTCAGCTCCTTCTCTATATTTTATCCAATTTCCAACAGTCCTAACAGTTAATCTTTCCCTCTTTACAATGTCATTCTACTTTTCGCCTCCCTTTGTTCATCCCTTTCACAGCATGGTGCAGGCAGTGCAGCTGGACATTAATCTGCCGCTGATGAGCTCCACTCACCAGACAGCTCATGGCTGCTTATCGGGCACTGGGTAAGATTAGGACAGTCACTGGTGTCACAGTTGAGTTTTAGCAAGAGGACGATGAAAAGACATTGTCATTACCTTTCAGATGCCTCTATAAAGACTAGAAGTCCATTCACATTGAAAACAATAACTAAAATGGCATTTTTTTTGTCCTTATATTTGTCCGTTAAATTCCTTAAAAATGAAGCATCGCTACAGTGACACTCTAAATCTTCGGCTTGTCTTCCTTCTTAGTACTTTATTTTGATCTTTTTTGTCAATTCATTGTCTCTTAGTGTAAAAATATCACTGTGATATGAAACGAAATATAAAGTGACAGCTGACACCCACATCCTTTATATATTTAATTCCACAGTAATTGTACAGATGCACTCTGACAGACAATGTGGAGAATCTGTTTAATTTTTAAATAACTTCTTCATGCGCATTTTTGGATATCTCCTTGATTGAGCTCCATGGTAACACGCGTTCAGCATATCCCGCACAACAAATAAAAACAAATGTTGCGTGCCCACAGTTTATCCTTCCGTCCTTCTTTTCTTCCACCTTCCATCTTGGTTGTACATTGCTTCCCTTTTCTTTTGCTGAACAGTCTCATCTCAGCACTTAACCTCCAATTTGCATAAGTCATTATGGCTGTGAGGACTGAGGAGGCTATAAATTCTGCTAAGTGTTCATCCATCGCTGTAAGTTTAAAAATGCCCAACCACTTTTTACATTTCTTTGACTAATGGAGACAGAAAGAGCATCCATCGCTGAGACATCATTCATACGTTTGATGAGCCAAGCAGTTTTAACTTTTTTGAACACTCATTTGAACATACAGCCCCTGATTGGTGTGGGGAATCAAGTCATATGTAATTGCAGTAATTATTATTTAAAACTCATTCTGATATTTTGAACAGTATTCTTTCCTTGGGCAGTTGAATCTACCAGGAATATTTCTCAAAACCCTCGGGAGAGCAATACTTTCTTATTGAATACTTTCTCCTCCTGCCAGCATCAATTACAGCAAATGTTTGTTCTGCCAAATAGGAAGCAGGAATATCTCTCCTGCTTCCATCAATAAACAAAGACTAGAACAACACTGGTAGCTCACAGTGAAAACAGGAAACTCAATAGAAGAGCTCCAGCCTTTTTATAAAAACATAGATTTTCCTCCAGCACTCCTGACGGATGCTGAAGTTTAAGTGTTTGTGCACAGCTGGGGCTCTGGAGAGCCGGCTGACTGTGGCTCTCTGTGTTTATCTGGGTGTGCTAGCAGGTCCGTCATCGACGCCACATCAAAGAGCTGAGTTGACATTCCTGGGTCATTGACTGCAGACTGAGAACAGCAGAGACAGAGTGGAGGTGTCCTTTTTGATGATAAAACACAGGTGAAGGCGAACGCGGAAGAACTAGGAGAAGATGAAGCTGTCTGCTGACTGTGCTAATGCAAGAAGACTGGAAGACTTTTCCGCAGTAGCACAGCTTTCAGACTGAATAAAAACTTCATCATCCCAACAGAAACTACAAAGTTGGGAGTCCACAGCAGGGATTGTGGAAATGATGGGTAAATTATGTTGTCATCTTTCACTGGTAATCCATTTAAATAAGTCAAATTTAATCACAAAAGCTTTCATTTGGTATTTGAACTAGATACATTTTGCCTCCCATTACCTCCCCTGCCCCGCAACATGCACACACAGAGTTATATACACGTTTGCAAAGTTGAATCTCGGCAAAGTTTGGTCCTAAGTTGGTTTCTACTTGCTGTTTACCCCTAAAACTTGTACTATGTCGTTTGAACTGCGTTCCTATCCACAGACCTGAGCCAAATGAATTGGACACATTGTCACTCGCCTAATTAAGGCAGGCTCCTCGCAGGGCTCTGGGAGGGAGAGTGTGGGAGGTTCCAGTTACTCTGCTCATCATCACTACTTGTACTTTCTGCACCAAGGAGCCGAATGTTAAGCAGGTCTTTTTTTTAAATCTCTCAGCTCATTGACATAAAGTGCATCTCCCCACTTGGCTCACTCAACATTTCCATAATAACAGTCATTATCTTCAGCACACATCTTTCTGCTTCATTTAAGCCATTCCTAACAAGGGGTATCTATCATGGAGGTGCTACTATTCTGCGGTCGCACTGACCTCCAGCGCTCTTGATTTATTCCTGACCATCTCCTGAGCTCTGTCTTTCGCTGCAGGACAAAAACCGCCACTGTGAACCTTTTTAATTATGAAGACATAATTTAAAACTTCATCAGTCCTCAGTGGTCGCTGGACAGGGTGACATAAGCAGCCGGCAGGCTCTCCGTCTTATGGCCGGGGTCATTTTTTAAATGGAGATGAGGGCATGTAGGTAAATAAGGGCAATGCAGCTCATAGTGCACTTCATGGTTCTTAGATTATTCACTAATGATCACACTCATGCCACTTTGATGAAACTTTCCTTTGTTACAGCATACATGCAAGTTGTCGTCATTTCTCTAACAACAAATTGGGAGTCTTGCGGTAAATGGAGGCTGTGCATCATTGTGTGTGCATGTGTGTGTGAAGTGTGATTGGTGGTGCTGTTAGGCGCACACAGCATCATTATTTTGATTTTGTCCTTCCCTGCTCCTGTGACTTGGTGAAGCAGCAGGACACAGAGAGATGAGGGCGAGGAGGTGCACCCAGCTCCACCTGGACAAACACAAGGACAGCTCTACCTACGACTACACTGTATTAAACCAATTATTCACCATCAGGGATTGTTTTCGGCGACAGTGAATGTTTTGTTTACTCGGCTCAAAAATGTAGCGAATGGGGTGTCATCTACGGCACAGGCGGCGGAGATTGTAAACATGTTTTTCTCTCTCCTCCCTACAAGAGGATAAATAAAAAGACTGCTGTTAGAAGATTTAATTCCGAGAAGCATCTCTCCAGGGCTCTGTGCTGCGCTAAGAAGCCCACTGCAAAAAGCCTTCAATTAGCAGAGCTACGCCTTCATCTTCTGACCAAAGTCACCTTGAACAATCAAATTATCTCTAAATTTAAATAAAACAATCACTCCCAATCAATCAGAGTTCATTAGCTTGAATATGGTTTCCATTGCCTCTTGAACATGCCAAGAAAATCTACAGGCAGCCCTCATTCACTCATACACTTCAAATACGTGTGCGTAAGGTCATCTATAGACACACCTGTGTGCACAAAAGAAGAAAAAGCAGTAGACAACAATAGTTTACACTGAAATGTATTTTTATTCCTGATCACACAAGGCACAGTTGTGTTTGTTTTAATTACAGTTTGTGAGATTTGAGTCAGGTTTGCAGGACTTAGAAAAGTTGGACTTGACCGTCTCCAAACTGGCAGACAGACAGACTGCTGGGGCAAACAGGCATAAACAAAGTTAAAGCTGTGCATTATCATTGAGATTCATGCCCTTTGTACTAATTTAGCACACAGTATAATGATGAATCACTGATAACTGTCCACATCTCCAAGAACTTGAGTTACAAAAATGATTAAAAAACCTGTTCTCATTATCTCCGAAATAGGATAAACTATACCCACAGTATTTTGGATTGAAATATGATGATAATAAGTTATAATGCAGCAAATCAAAATATTTTGGAATTGAGATACTTTTTCAAATCATCATTTGAAATCATTTCTACTGATTATGACTTCAGAGGTATATACCTTGGTGCATTGAGCTGGCATTTAGTGCCGGCTTGGCACAGCAAAACAAAAAATAACTGATGAAGAAAAAAAGATTTCTTTCATCCTGAATGACAATAACCAATTTACTGTGTGTGTGTGTGTGTGTGTGTGTGTGTGTGTGTGTGTGTGTGTGTGTGTGTGTGTGTGTGTTGTTAAAGAGCTACAGATTGCTGTGTTGTTTCCATCTAGGCTGGAGCGATATCCCACACAGTCTCATCAAAATCACTCCATCACAGCCGACGGAAGTAAGTGCCTTTTCCCCAGACAGGACGAGGAGAAGGAGGCTTGTCTACACTAAAAGCATTTTCACACTGCCGGACCAATCTCCAGCACTATTGCCGAGACCAAGGTCATTTTTGTTCAAACAGCAAAGCCCGAGATGATGTAGTGAACCGATATCCCTGGGTCAGCATGGTACATTCCATCTTGGTAGCATTGGGTGGTGTAAACTAACTCCGGGCTTCAGCATCCACAATTTTATGGTTCCAGAGGTTACAGCTGAGCATGCTGATTTTTTTTTTTTGAAGGTGTAAAAAAAAAAAAAAAGAAGCCCAGTGGATGCTGCAAAATGCCCTTATCTCGTCATGCGCTGTCAGCCCCAGATGTCCTGTAAGTAGCGTTTCTCCTCTCTCAGCCTTGCCAGTGTCTTCATGGCCTCCAGCTGGTCCACCTGAAGCTCTGTTTTGATCATATCCATCAGGGTGTCGTTCACATCTTTAGCCATGTTCTTAGCATCTCTGGTGAATAAAAGAGGGGGAAAAAAGGCCCAATACAATCAATAGGCATGTTTTTAAGACAGTACTATGTGTGTGTAAACACAGTGGCAAGCCACTTTTTGAAAACCAGCGAGTGCTGCCAGTCCAGGAGTGCATCCTGGAAGGAAACTGCGGAAATCTTTATCTTGCTGTTGCAGCATATTGGGGGAGATTCATCATCCTGTGGACCTAAAGTGATATTTCTTGACTCTCAGGAATTCACAGAGTTCTGACGTTTCAAAAAACATTTGCTCAAAGGTGCAGGTAAGCGGCCTGGCAGTCATGAGAGAGGAGAAACACAAAAAAGATGATACTGAGCTATACAAATGTCGACAGGACTCGACTTGTTATATGCCTGTGTGTTTTGCTTTGTCTTGTTGTGCTGACAGAAACATTGTGTTGTGATATGAAAAGGGGGGGGGGTATATATACTCCATAAAAGCTACAAACTGTCCAAGATATTGCATCAGTGTGAGGTCAGCAGTAGCAGAACGTTGGTTGCGATTATGTTCCGATTCAAAAAACGTGCTAACCTGCCTGTAAGCACCTTAGCACCTTTTGTAAATTTTTTATGAATCAAGTTCTTTGCCAGAGCTAGTCATCAGTTATTTGTTTTGATAGTCAGAAATACATGTCATATCATACATTCATCTGCTATATATATATATATATATATATATATATATATCTCAACCTCATTGAGACAAGGGGTCTCATTCCCAAGAGAGACCTGGTTAAAACAACAGCAGCAATACAACACAAAGTTACAGACAGACAGGACATTCAATACAGAGACAAAATGGAACACAAATCATAAAAGCAATAATTACAAGAGAGACAAAGTGGTAGTCAGATTTTAAATACTATGTTCAAGAGCCAACCCCCACAGATTTCTTAAAAGTGTTTTAAAGTCTCCTGGGGGAATTGTGCTGGACAGCTTCAGTTCCTGCTGTCGCATGTTCCAGGTTGAGGGGCAGAGTAGGAGAAGACTTTTTTTTTTTTTTTTTTACCAAGTTCTGTATGGACTGAGGGGATGGAGAGGGTAATGAAGCCCTGGGAGCGTAGGCAGCACTGTTTACATGGCATGTAAGTGGATAAATACGTGGGCAGCAGTCCAATGATGGATTTATAAAATAAGTTATGCCAGTGCAAAGTTCTGCACATGGATAATGATGACCAGTTGACTTAAGAATACAGAGTACAAGGAGTTTAAAACTGGTTATGAATCTCAGAACTCCGTGATAACAGAGCATCCATCAGATGAAGACAGGGAGCGGAGGAATTCATGAAAAAAAATATCCCCATAGTTCAAGAGAGGTAAGAAAGTGTCAGCAATGATCTATTTCCTAGCATTAAAGGAAAAACAGGACTTGTTCCTAAAAAAGAAGCCGGTGCGACTGAATAGTGTCAAATGAAGATGCAGAAGTTGGAATGCCAGTGCAAAAGCGCTCACACAACAATATATAATAGCATTACTGGTATAAAGATGGACAGATGCATTACTTTTGACCCACATCATGTAATTAAGTAATGTTTACTGTCTACATGTTAACTAATTTTAGCCAGTTTTTTTCTGTTGTAAAAGATTTGAGTTTTTTTTAAATGTACACATGAAATGTATGGTTAAATATACATTTTACTGTAAACAAAGAAAGTAATATACAATCGATCTATTTACAAGTAAATTCAAGGCTTCAGAGAGACGACAGCAACATGACAAAAACAGACCAGGAACGCAAAGATAGCCAGAGTGCAGAAAAGAGCTGCGAGTTAGATCCTCCGTGTCAGAAAATGACACTAAATTTGGATAAATAAAAATCAACAACTGAATTATTATCATTATCAGTGTCAGTCTTACCCGCAGACGAAGATGCAACCGTTACGTTTGAGCAGAATGTCAGTGATCTGTTGGCTGTGAAGTAGCAGGTTGTGTTGGACGTATTTGCATCGCGCTGCAGAGATGGTGGTGGCCGCCTCAGCCTCCTCCTCCTCCTCCTCCTCCTGGTCATCTCTGGAGAAACACACCTTGAGGTGGCTCAGAGTACCGCTGGACTCAAAGTCCTCCAGCTCCTCTCTGGACAAAGAATTGCAGAGACACATCCAAACATTTCAGGTCATTAAAAATACAATTTCCTACAAGGTTATTCCTGTAAGCTTGGGACAGGTTGTTCCTGGTTTTGTGAAAGCTTTGCCAGAGTCAGGAGAGCCAAGATGCAGCTGCAGATGTGGAGAAAAGATCATGTGATAATGAATGGCAGATTGTAGCTATGCATGATTTTATAGGGGAAAAAAAGCAGGCATATTTTTTATTGTAACTAAGACATAAATGTAGAAACGGCTGGTGTATTCATGCCAAGTATCAACACAGTTTTCATACTGACTGTTTATCCTTTCACACCCAACATTCCCTCAAGATATTTAGCAATAGCGTCAACCGCCTCACAAGACATATGACCCCCAGAACATTTCCTAAGAACAAAAAAAACCTGTCAAGCTCGATAAAGCAGAACACTGATGGGCAAAAGGTCTGAGCAAAACTGTGCCAGACAACCAATTTATCTTGTTTAACACGAGAAGTGCAAAAAAAAATATGGATTTCATAAGCAAGGTTGAGTCACTGTTATAAGCATCTTTTTACAATCAATCCTCCCAGCCTTGCAGTTGGGTGTAACCTTGCTCCCCCCCATCTGTGGTCTGCTTGCCAACTACTCCTTCTTCTTCCTCAGTGTTTTTACAAGGCCCGGGGTGCTATTGGAAGGGAAAGAAAGAGGAAGGTGGTGAGGGAGTAAGGGTTTACTGTGGCTCAGAGCATCTTGTTTAAAGTTAACCAGTCGGAATGAGCAGAAACACACACGCGGCACAACCGCACACACACTCATTACAAGCCGTGGCTCTGAGATCATGGGTGAAGGTCTTCGCCTCAGGGGTCTGTGTTTTGCAGTAACCCCTAGACTAAAATAAGGCATTTTTCAATAACACACAGACACAGTGGTGTGAATACTGAAGGGAGAGATGAGTTTTGTTGACTTTGTTCTAAGTGAAACATCCAGAATTGTTGCTTCTTCTGCAATGTTTACCATATAACCTTTAGTCATTAAAATACATCTCATTCTTCTTGGCCAAGATGTGTGATTACAAAGGCCGTCTGAACATGAGAGCAACAACATGAATAACAAGGAAAAGGATGGCAGAGTCTTGTTTGTTTGACGCGCAGAAACTGGCGGATGACAGAAGACGGTTCATTTTCTTGAAAAAACACAACAATTGAGGGTTTCTGAGAGCCGAAACCTGCCAGCCTCCTCGGAGTGTTTACACACATAACAGCCTGTGGCGATATCCCGGACCCTAACGTGCACCCAGCAGGCCATCCAGTTGTGTTTCCCCTACAGCATGAAATCACTTGCCATAAAGAAGCAGAGAAATCTGAGGGAGGGGAAAAGGATAAGTGCAGTGGAGGGGAGAGGGGAGGACGAGCTTGATGTGACAAGCAAGCAGATTGGCATCAACCTCTCAGAGGGATGTTAAGTGCTGTGGCTGATTGAGGCACATCGCAAGCCTTGTTTGTGGGAAATTCAGAACCCCATCGGAGAGTTACACATTCTGTCTTGACATTTTGTAGTATTTATATTGAGCATAAAAACCTGTTTTTGCTATATTTATGGAAGTTCAAATTCCCAACCCTTGCTTACAATGACTTCAGCTAAACTTTTCTTAAAAAAAATCTGGGGCATTGAAAAATGCTGCAAACTACGCTAAACCTCTTTCTGCATTTCCAGGCAATGCCAGACATCAAATCACATTTACTTTTAGAGAAATCCAACAGAGATAAATGCCGGCAGGCCATTCAACTGCAGGTATGTTGTTCTCATTTTGCTAACCTATTTAAATCGAGTACAACTCTTCACGGGTGGCTCATAAAACACAGACTAATCGCTTTGGTCAACACTGTGGGGGTGTTCATCAGAGAAGCCCACACTGTGAACAAACACTGTGTACTACCTGGCTGTGAGCTGGTATTTAACTAAGGGATAGGGGAAACAAAGGGGAACAAACAGCATCCTCTGTGATCTATTCTTGTGTGATTAAGGATGCTAATCCATTCACACTATTTAATCCTGCAAAAGAACTCGATCAGTGCACAATCATGCTGCTGATACTAGCAAGAGCTGATCAATTAGTGTGTAGTCAGGACAGAGTAAAGCCAAGACAAACTGATAAGAGCAGTGATCTACTCACAGGTGGATGTCAGCTTACAAGGAATCAGGAAAACAAGAGAGATCTAACAAAGGTCACTAATATTCATTCAGTTTTTCTGTCTGCTGTTCGGTGCTGGGAAGGTTTTTAAAATAAACACAGCTGCCTCCTGCGCCTAGAAACTACACTGATGAGACGTGACTGATGAGAATTGCATGCATTGTATTGTTGAATGATAATAATTAGTAATAATTAATCTATTGTGTTTGTCACTATGCATGACCCCTTTTAGTCATTTGATCTATTTTTAATATAAAAATATGTATTTATACATTAATATTATATATATATATATATATATATATTAGACATTTGCTATTTTTTTTAACATTACTCTTGCTAATAAATAAAGATTTAACATTTCATAAGAGATTTTTTAGCTTCCAAGCTTAACACAGCCACATATTTTATCAAACTGGAATTAGATTCATAAAAGAAATAGCTATGAGGACCCAACCATAGAAAAAAGTCACATAACCTCCATGCAACTTCCTGCCTTGAGTCACAATTACATACAAAGGCAACAAAACGCTGTTGCCTTGGCTAATTTAGCGTTGTATGTATGTTTTCTTCACATACATCTTACAATATATCCTTGAGCTGATTGCTTGATATAGTGTCCAATAAATAATGCCCATGTACGGAATGGAAGAAAGAAACCCATTATATATCATGTAAACAGAGAGTGAGACGTACATTATGCAGGTCACAGATTTCAGTACATGGAATATGCAGTGGCAAGGTGAAGAGGGATGTGGGTATGGGGAATAGTATATCTGACTCACAAAAGGTTAGGGGAAATATGTGTAGGATATGTAAATACATGCGTGTGTGGGCTCTGTGACTAAGCACAGAAGTGAAAAGCAGAAACACAGCTTACCTGAACAGGTAGTCTTGGTTCCTGTGGCGACAACCGAAGAACAGCCAGGTTTCGCCGAACGTGGCCTCGGGGTTCTCCTGCCTCTCCTTCTCTCTGAAAGTCAAACAACGGATGTTAGCGGTCAATCAATACTAACAGACGACCAGACCAGATGGAGGAGAGGGAGTCCTTCCTCGCAGCAGAGGTTAAAGAAGAGTAGTGACACCATTAAGCACTGTCTGCAATGACAGTACACTTAGTGCCACAATTGCCTAATGCACGGAAACGACAGTGCGTGCTGCAGCGAGGACATTATATGTATTATTAAATTTCACCCAAACAGAAGGATAGATCCCATCACTATAAACAGTTACTGAAAATGAAACCGGGGCTTGTGCTTTGTGTGTGGGTGTGTGTTTCGCGTACACTGACTGTGTGTGTGTGTGTGTGTGTGTGTGTGTGTGTGTATGTGTGTCCAACTGCTTGAGTGCAAAAAAAATAAAAAGAATTTTGCTTCTGCAAAAGTGATTCCTCTTGTGGCTTGGGAGTTTGGCAAAGCTCCCAGAATCCTTTGCAAGCAATGGCAACGCAGTGGCACAAAGCGGCTCTGAGGATGCCGGTATCTGTGCCGCACACCTGCTGCAAAGGTGACAGCTCTCTCCAAGATAACAACAGTTGACCCCCAACCTTTCATGATGCCATCAGTCAGTCGACTCTCTAAAGAGCCCCGCATTATCTGTTACCCCCGTCTGGAGGGAGGAGGGGAGATGAGAAAAGAGAGAGGGGGTGTTGAAGTGACCAACCACGACGAGGGGCTGAGGAATGCCACGGTGAGCCACTGAGACTGGGCTCTTTGTGCTGTGCTGCTGCACTCTGAGGATAAGGCGCTGACTCCCCTGAACCCCACCCTTTGATTTTCACCAACAGGCTGAATCAAGCTTTGTGTTTTCCAGAAGCCCCAAAATATAATAGCTGCCAACTCTTTTGCATGATGAACTTGTGTATATATATAAATATATATATATTATGCGGATTAGTTTGAGCGGCGGAAAATTAATCACGTACTATTTTTAAAAAACGAGACCCCCTCCAGACATGTTTCAAACACATAAAATACAGCATGCAGTCGAGGACATTATTACTATCCTTCAATCTTCACTGTAATTGCATCTTACAGCACAGGTAAGATGCAATCTTAATACTGTAAAGCAGGACTGACAGCAAAGGAAGACAATTATTAGGTTAGTCAGAAATAAAAATAAATGAAATAAAAAGGGTGGTCTTTTTTTTCTCTCTCTCTTTTATAGTGACAATAACTACATTTCCACTGGCGCCCATGTTTCAGCGTATCCTGTCTCATTATTTTGCCGTCTAAAAACTACCTTTTCCAACTTAATCAGTTCCATTGCTTCAGTGATCCCTTCTTTCTGAGTTAAAGCATTCTAGTTATTCATGATTACCTTCTTTGTGACCACACATAACAAAAGAAAGATTGTTTTATGCTTTTGAAGAGACTCTGCTGAAGTTATGCAAATGTCCCAGTATACATGATGATTGTGGTTTGAGTGGAATGGCTAAATTAGTGTGGCTCATCGCTCGCTTTGTTATGCCAAACCAAAGATCTTTGATTTCATTGCAGTCCCACAACAGATGGAGCACAGTTCCTTCAGCAGAACCATGTTTTATACACTTACTGTCATCCCTTATGCCTATTTTGTGTAGCTGTGACAGGGTGTAATATAATCTGTTAAGTATTTTAAAATTGCTTTGGTTTGTCTGCCTTCCATATATCATTCCAGGAAATATCATCGTCCGGTTTATGGGGGGGGGGGCTCCCTCGATAATTGATTGTTGGCGCTTTCATTCAATATTTTGTAATTTTTTAAACTATATTGTTTGACATTTCAATATTTTAACAATGATGTTTTTGTTTACCGTTATATCTGAGTTTCTGCCATAGCGGTTCATTCATTGAAATAGCTGTGTTTATTCCAAGGATCTGGGCTGCATTATTGTCTTCTGAAGAGTTTTCATAAAAAAAAAGACATTTCAGAATCCGGATCAGAATAAGGTTTATTGTCAAGTAACTTTTTACGTATGAGGAATTTGCCTTAGTACATTGTGAGTCTCTTTCACGTCAATGTTTAAGCTAATTTTTCCAAAGTTTCCAATCTTGGCTCACAGAGGGATCAAACAGCTCACTGACTTGCTGACAAGCAAAGGGTGCTGATATCATAAAGGGCAATTCAATTAAATCAGGAGCTTTTTTGCATATTGAATTATATTCAATAATTTCCTTGTGTTATCAGATAATGATCAACTTTTGATGAAACCAGAGTGGTCAGTGTCTATCAGATTTAAAAAGTACAGAGAAATTTTCCCTCTTAAAAAATAAAACAAGCAAGGCAATCAAAATTCATGTTAGAAAGATTTTGGAAGCAAATATGGAAGTCAAAACTAAAGTCAGGATGTAGCAGGAGAAACTTTTTTTGTTTTAAAGAAAGCTAAACTTTGTTGCTATTTCCCCCAAAGTTGCTAATTACTGATACAAATTTTAAATGGTTCAGAGGAGCATGGAGGGCATGGCCGAGCATTTGTTTCATCTGCTTCTAAAGGGAGGTGTGACAAAAAGTTTGAGAACCACTGGTCGAAGTAGTTTATCGAGAAATATGCCCTTTGTTTGTTTTGTTTTAGGTTATTGTAAATTCAATATCTTTTGTTGCTTGGACAAAACAAGCAATGTGAAGAGGTCGCTTTTGTTTATAAAAAAAACAAAAACTTATTCTGTTTTCTGACATTTTATAGACTTAAGGATTAACATATTATATTTTTTTAAACAGATTAATCAATCGTTAGTTGCAGCTATACACTAATTAGCCTTAATGAAAAATACATTAATGCAAGCCTTACTGTGAATACTAAAACAAAGCCTAGTCCTCATTAATTAAATGAGAAGTTGACCAGTTAATAAAAAAAGCTTTGGAGAAGAAGTTTGTTTGAACTTTATGTCTGTGAATGGGGCTCAGTAACAGAGCTGTCTGGCTGACTTGATCTGAACACTCAGATCCCATCCATTAGCATCCTGGACGAGATTCTTCTGATCTGCAAACAGCCTCAAGTAAACTCATTTTAGTGGGCTCATCTCTCTCCTCTCGCCGCCTGCCCTAAAGGGATCAATACCAATATGAAAAACCTGGATTCCATTCTGAGTAGACCACACCGGCGCCTCTCTCTGAATACAAATCACATCACATCACATACCCACACTATAACAGCCTGCAACACAATCCCAGGGGGAAGGCAGCAGCTACAGAGCACTCCATTTGGGGTCGAAATCAGAAGCGGTTGCCTTTCAGCTCCATTCAGATGATCAGCAGGAGGGGGAAACTGCACGGAAAGCCGAGGTGAAGACTTGGTAAACATCCCAATTATCTCATATGTTTCATCCGTTTTTCTCTTGCAGTTCAGCACGAGAGGTGCTGAGTGGCTTTTTAAGCAAAAAATACAACAAGAACAACAACAAAAAAAAACCCTAAATACAACAACAGCTTGAGGCTTAATCACTGAAATTACATTGCAAAATTACACCCATATACATTCAACGTGCTGAATTTAGAATGTTTTCATAATACAGTACAATGCTGAGTTGCAAGATGCTGTAGCCTAATTGCAATCAGCTGTCTGGTTAGACTGATAAACGGAAGCTCAATATTTGTTCACACAAACGCACAAACTTTAATAAAGGTTGTCATATTGAATGTGCCAAGTATGCCTGCTGGCAAACCTAAATATTAAACTGAGCAGACTGATTTTTTCCAAAAGAAAAGCTTGTTAGAGCTGTTAAGGAGATTAAGGCTAACCACTCAGTTAAAATACAATATTTGTCTAACTGTCACTGCTCCCAGCTACATAGAGAGACAGTGGAAATCACATTCTCCATAAAATCCTTCCACGCAAACCACAGCAATCAATACCAGACTACTGGAGGGCCTTATTAAAATCTCCTGGTACCACCAAGTGAGCCCCTGACCTTTAGAGACTCTTCTTCCACTTGTTACCAGCACTACAAACTCATACAAAGTACTTTTGAAAACAGCCATCGATTAACAGTGGGAGTGGAAGGGGGGAGAGAGGTAGGAAGATCGAAATGTCCCCATGTTGTTTTGTTGCTAACAGGACCTTTCTTGGGCCTCGAGGCAGATACGATGTCCCGTTGACAAACTGGTGATTGTTATCTCCTATCAGAGTGCAGCGTCAGCCGCCGAGGCTTTGTTTGGAATCTCAAGTTAGATTCTGTATAATGCTGCGCACCATGATAGGTTTTTACAATCCTCCAGCACAACACGCAGCTGGCAGGGGAGAGGATGAGAGACACATAGAGAGGGAGAATGGACTGAGGAGACAGTCAGGCTGATGAATTGGTTCACATGAGTTTATGCTCTAACAGTGAAGGGTCTCTTGAAAGAAAAACAAAAGAATACATTTGAAATGTATAAAAAGAAATTTACAAAGATCCAACATTGAACTCGCAGGATGCATTTGTTGAGGGGTTGTGGTTGTATTATAAAACAAAGTCTTCCAAAATCAATCAAGGTCTGACTGTTTTGGTTGCACTAACAAGCAGGTCTGCAAGGACAGACCATTAAATAAAATACTCAAATGTATATTTCGAGCATCTTATATTTCAGAGAGCAATGTTTGCATACTGCTGTAAGGATCAAAGTAAGACTGATGTGTTCATATCACTACCTTCCACCAGGGTACCGTCCCTCTGGCTCAACCTTGATCATTAAGAAAAGGAGTGGTATAACCAGGTCAGTTGGAAAAACGTGCGCTATCTTCAGTGCTCCTGCATCCCAAAGGCATATACACCTCTCACCCCAGATGACCACTCATCCTCCCCCCAAATCTTCTGCAGACAATCCACCAACGCTATCACTTCAGCCGGTGCCGTGTCACCTCTCAGAGCAATCACCCAGTGATGCCACCCGCCTCAACGGTGCAGACGTCCAAGGGATTTAGAGACAATTGGAGTTGACTGGGGCACAACCTCATTTATACAAAGCCACCCAAGAGTTAGACATGTCAGTCCGACTAAAAAGGCTTACTTCGCTTTTGAACAAGTCATGGTGAGCTATGGACCTGGTTCGACACAGGCATTAGCCTGGATACAGAAGCTTCAGTCACATTAAATCCTTCTGACAGGTCATCATCTTGCAATCTTGATTTAACTGTCAATTCAGAACCTCAGAAAATTAAACAAACTGTCACGTTTTCTACCAAATGATAGCTCTCTCCAAGCATTTGGACTTACAGCAACGCTTTAACAAGCTGGAGAGAGCTACGACATACTCAGCTAACAGCCAATATCCTCACACCACCTCTTCGGCAATTACAAGCAGTGATTTACTCCAACAACGCGGCCTCCACCTACTGGACGTTTTACTTTCAAATCAATAACACCGCATGTGCTGCTATGACTGCTGGCTCTTCATTACAGGCACCAGTCATAAACCCGCGCATCGGAGAGAGTGCCTAATTTATTCCTGTTGAGACAAGCGGAGCATCTGAAATAATCCCTGACGTGATCACAGCCCTCGCCGTTAGATTTATTATGCCTTATGAGATGTACATGACGTCAACTTTACTTTTATCGGCTTTGAGCGGGGTCTCATTTAATTGTCTCTGCAGATTACTTGAAAATATGCACAGATGATGTGCACTTAACATCACTTCACCATTGTGAATATTCATTACTGGGTGCAGAATTTTTTGCTGGAATAATCGGTGTCACACAGTGCAACAATCAGAATATAACCTGCATGTTTCTGATGCTTGACATGAACATTTACCTGACCTACTTCAGGAGAATATCTTGTAACATGTATACCATTGCAGGATCAAGTATATTACCACATAGGGGATCTCAATGTACACCCCGGCTCTATTACTTGATAAAAATGTTACTTACTATGGTGCAAGATAATATCATAATGAAATGTACCATACCTTTGCTGAAGGAAACCAATGAAGGGAGCAACTCCTGTACCCGGTCCAACCATTATGAAGGGCACCGACAGGTCAGATGGAGGCCGAAAGGAGCAGTTGGGTCTCAAACTCACATGGATCTAGGGTCAGAGGCCATTAGCAAGCATTTTAAAATAATGAGAGTAATTAGAACAATGCTGAGAAGCCACTGTGGGACCACCAATCTATTAATTGATCTACTTAATATTCTAAGACATACTAATAGGGAAACTCAAGAGCTCCAACAGGAATCCATAATAGAGTCTGTGGTAGAGAGGATTTTCTTGCTTTAATTTAAATTAATTCTTTAATTAACCATACACAACGGGCCCAAAGCTTGTTCTTTCTTTAATCTTGTACATTAAAAATCGAGTTTCCAGAGAAGCCTAAAACATGTAATAGAAACAAGTTGACTTTAGGTCTGCAGGTTCATGGAGACACTGCACAATTTTCTGATATTCTGCTCCACACTTGCCTCCTATTTTACTCAAGAACCTCTTGAGCTGTAATATTTGAAGAAGAATGGGCAGCCCAGCTCTACTGGCATTTTTATCGAGACAAAACTAAGACAAAGAAGAGGGATGGCAATGTAAGGTGCAGCAACATTTCAACCTAGCCAGGAGGGGTACATGTATTTTTTTTCTTTCTACTGCATGAGTCGGGGGTTGCAACTATTACAGCACCTGAACACTGGTACTCGCAAATATGAGCCCTTATCAGCCAGGACCAAGAAATATATCAGCCAAGACCAAGAGTTCACAAATTTGCACAATCTAGTTGCAGCTCTCCATTTTCCAGTGTACTCATTACCTTTGGCAGAGCTGGGCTGCCGGAGGATTCAGCCTTCCCTGGGAAAACCAGGACAGGATTGATGAGGTCAAACAGCCAACCGGTACACAAGCCTCGCCTCCCCGCAGGCCGCCCAGAGCATGCTGGGAACTCTACTACATTGAAGACAAAATGCAGCTTTCCTGGGTGCCTAAGACAGGAGCTATAGAGATGGTACCACAGAGAGTTTGAGATGGAAGAGGACATAGAGATATAGGGAAACGACAGTGTGTGAGGGTTTATAGGCATATAGACGGTGACAAGCAGGAAGATGAAGTGAAAAACAGAGTGGAAAAACAGAAGCAGGGGGAAAACAGAAAGGCACAAGCATTACAAGGGAGGACACAGAAAACAATACTCCTACAAATGATGATTCACACAAACCACCTTTAGAAAACTCTAGTTAAATAACAGCTGATCAAAGTATGAGGATACGCAGACATTAGATGTGATGCCAATTACAAACATGGACATGACATGGAAATGTGCATAATTATAATCAATGCCAGTGATTCCAAACCCTTTGTGTCTGACGTGGCCCCACACCCTTCATCAACATCACCTATTGTGTTTTAAACATGCTCTTTTGAATGGATTTTAAACATGTTATTAAACTCTATTCATTGTTAAGTGGATACTTAATACAATAAGCCATTTTTATCGACAGAGGGAGTGGGTCCTTCTACATGGACCCACTTCCATCTTCCGTTGCACTGCCATGTTTCTAAAGTAGCCCAGAATGGACAAACCAAACACTTGGTCTAGATCGGGCATTTTTTTGCTTTTAGTTTTAAAGCCACCCTAGTTTCTCCTAAGCACTAGAAAAGGGAGATCTTATTCAGTTGGTTGCAATCTGCAGCTAAATCAATCAATAATGTCACTAAATCCTACACACTGGACCTTTAAGCTACCTACTCCGACTGCTTATCCATTACTTTTAGCTAATAAATCCAACCATTCACCCATTACTTTAAGTTACCTATTCCAAGTGTTCACCACTATCCATTATTTTAAACTAACTATTTCAACTGTTAATCCATTATTTATATCCAACTATTTTAATTTATCTGTTTGGATGGTAACTATGTTTTACAAACTCGCAAACATGTGGATATATATATTGTTTTAATAAATTTTTTTAAATTATTATTATTTTTTCAAATTAGTTGAGATACTTCACAACCTTTCCACATAACCCCTGGTAAGTATAGCCGGTAGTACCCCCAAGGATAAAGGTTATCCTGGTTGGGAATAACTGATATGCAGACTGACATTTTATATAGAAAAAATAAAATAAAAATACAGCTCGGAGTGAGCAAAAAATAACTTCCTGTCTGTCTTGCTTTAATAAAACTGCGTCTCCCTCCTCTCCATTCCAGTCTACACTGCCGGCTGAAGAACTCTCGCTTTCTCATCCTTCACTCTCCAGTTCCTGTGGGCCACTAGAGACCTCTATTGACCACAGCATCAATAATGCAGGCCTCTAATGTCTCTGCACCATCTGATAAACTACAGCCACCATCTCTCCTGTTCGTTCACTATCTCTCTGGAAACACACACACACACACACACACACACACACACACACACACACACACACACACACACACACACACACACACACACACACACACACACACACACACACACACACACACACACACACACACACACAGCTAAGTGAGGAACTAATGAGAGGAGCGGAGAAGTTTTGACATTGCGTTAGATGTTGCTGTTCCACATGAGCTTTAAAGCAGACCTAATGGGTACTAGCTTAACAGGAAGAGCAAATCAATGACTAAGTGAGGCAAAAAGAAGGAGCACTTGGGCCTATTTAAACTAAGCACAACTTGCTAAAAGATACACAATATTTACAGTTCATTCATTTGTGCATGTTTTTTCACCCATTACTGATCTTATTAGGGAATTACATCTACAAACACCCATCCAAACAAAGGCGCACACAACATGGACTACAACAAACATACAAACACATACACACAATAATAATTAGTATTGCTATAAGGTCTATATATATATATATATATCATGAATTCAGATGTTTTGTTTCTATTTAAAATAGTTTGTGAATGTCTCCCTAAATGAAAGTTCATTTGAAAATGCCACACTTTATATTATTCATGGAGCTTCCCTTTGATGTTTTAAGAAACCCTATCGAATGTCAGCTTATTTGAAAGCTCTATTCACCACTGTAAAAGAGTTGGCAAAATAGCAGATCTGCAGCGGAAAGCAATGCATTTCCTAGCTGCCAATAGTGCAACATCAATATATATTATATTATGCGAACTCGACTGTCTTGTCTAGTAGTACCTAATAAACAATGTTGAGGATTTAGCAATATATCATGATGCAGATACAGGGATAAAATAGCCACAGAGTGATAGGGTTTCAGTAATAAATATATATACACAGAACTACCTCTTTTCTTCTTGCAACACCACATACAAATGACATTTCACAGTTAATCTTATGCATCTTCTTTGGGTGTATAAAACCTCCTATACAACATCTTGTAAATATTATTAATATTTATGAACTTTGAGACGGAAATTTATACAGTCCTCTTTGTTAGTTTCTATTTGGCAATCACGTTGCCATTTAAGCCAAACAATGTCTAGATTTTCTGATGTATTTGAAATAAACGCTGCATGATTTTCAGAAATATTGCATCTTCCTCATTATTAAGAATACAGTCATGCTTGGAAGAAGATGGCTGCATAAGAGACCCCTGAGGAGAATAAATTAGGGGTCTAAACAAATGAGTGGAAGGGAGGTCATATTTCTGTTGCAGTCACCATTACAAAAAGATAAAAAAAGGAGTTTGTAAATGTAATTCCTCACTTGTTGCGAGTCCAAAAGAGGTCAGTTTCACGGATTCTTTAACTCCAAAATTAGGCCAGTATTCTCAAAATATATGGAAACACATCCAATAATTCAATTCTTCTCCATTAACTACTCTCTCTTTGTACAATTTCCTAATGAAGGGTTATTATTCAGCTAGTAGAAATTAGGAAGACAGACTGACATGCGTACTCATATGATATTTGTTATTCCAAGTAAATGATGCCATAAGAGAACATCTGTGCGCAGTTTCATGCAGTGCAAAACGTAAGCTGCATTCTTATTTTTCTGTCACCTTACCTGGCTGCTGAATAAGGCCTGGGCTGCAGTTTCGGCAAATGCTCTGAAAGGCAAGCACAACTGTCAATCATCCTGCCGTATTGCTAAGATACTGTTACACAGACACCCATGACAGAGAGGAGACAAAATAAGTGAAAGTCATCTTGGTCCATTGAGACGTCCTACCTACCAATCTATCCTCAGTAACCCCCACCCAGGTTACAGTCTTGTTTCTAGGACACACTTCTATATTTATGAAATTACAAACTCAGGGTTATGGAATCCCAAGTGTCCAGATGTGGAGCCAGTAGGAAACAGATTGCTTATGCAGACCTTATTTCAATGCCAGCCATGAAGGTGCCCTCTTTTGGGTAATATGCTGTGTGCATTGCATCTGTGAGGATGTGTCAGAGAAATCAGGAAAACTTATAAGAGTTCCAGGTAACTTTTCACCCTGTAGCACAAAGATTAGCCATTCGCTACACTATTACCACCACCAACTATTAGACATGGGCAAAAAGAATGAGAGTTGTGTGATGTGCTAGTTATGTACTCCCTTACATTTTATTTGTATCTCAGTGAAAGATGAACCTGGGAAAGTAAATCTGCACCATATGCACCAGCTGAGGCCTTACAATAACACATTTTTCTGCTAAATTGCTTAGAAAGACAAACAGCTGGACTAAATCTGCTCTCTCCTCTCTTGCTGGATTTCTCCGATATCTAAACAGCTCAGGGTGTTAGCCAGACCGCCCTGCACTTTGACATCCATTTCATCTCTTTGAGCTGAAGATTTTTATTTTTTTGTATGGTGATGCATGAAACACTTAAAAGTTTCAAACAAGGTTTCGAACAAAAACATAGGCTTCGCCCAAACAGCAGTCTTCTACTACGGTTTCATCCAGATTCCCTCAGATACTAAAAGACCAAAAAAAAGTTCAGGGGGCTCTCACTTTTCTCACATTTTTAGAGAGTAAAGAACAGTGGGCTACCGACATACGGGCTAAACCAAATATACATATTTAGGATGGTAAAATATATAGAAAAAATATGATAATTCTGTTGTTTACAATTGATCCAAGAAGCGAAGACATTTGTGCTCAGGTGAGAGTACTTTACCATTCAATGTTAGACCGTACGTCAGTGTGAAAGAAGAAAAGCATCTGCCATCCCAATCATATAGAAAACAAGTTTGATGTTGTTGTTCTATTCACACGCAAAACACGATGGCCCAGTTCTAAAACTTTAGGCTCATTGCATTTCTTTTCTTTCTTCCATTATTCTGCATCCAACTTTTTGTACAAAAATGGCTTCAAAAGAATATAGAAGTGTGTATATACACTACTCACAAAAAGTTAGGGATATTCCACTTTCGGGTGAAATTTATGGAAAATGTAAAAAGTTGATGCTACAGTGATATTATATCATGAAAGTAGGGCATTTAAGTAGAAGGTCAAATTAAGATCACCTGGAAAGGTTATAGTGCATTTTATGTACATTCTGAAATTTCATCCAAAAGCCGAATATCCCTAACTTTTTGTGAGTAGTGTGTATATATATATATATAATGTTATAACTGATGTTTCTATTCTGGTTTGGTATTACCGGAAGATGATGTTTGATAGGTAACTGCTGATTCTTTCCTTAATCACTTTGTCTATAAAATGTAAGAAAATACTGAAAAATATCAATTACGATTTCCCAAAGCCCAAAAGCCCAGATTGCTTGTTTATTCTACCAACGCTCCAAAACCCAAAGATATTCAGTTCACTATCATATGAGAGCAGAAAAGCAGTAATCGCTCACATTTGAGAACCTGGCACCAGAGAATGGATGAATGAACTAATTGATTAATAAACTAATCTTTGTAGGTCTATTTTTGATGTTTGATATGTAGCAGTATCTTGGGCCAAATGTTTGGCAAGACATGGGGGACAAAAATTTAACTTTAGTGAGGACTTTCATCCTGAAAAAGAAGTTTAAATGTTTTGACCTGGAGGCCCGTAATGTATTAAACACTGGAGGGCAGGAAAATTTACAAGGAGACACTGGCCTTGCTTTATTCTAATCAATATACTTTTAAAGTAGATACAACTCACAGTTTTCGTCATTTGTAAATAAATCTTAGCAATTAATTCGGACTAAGCTTCAATGCAATGGAAATCTTGTTTCTCATATAAGGGCAGAAAATAACCCCCTGAGGGGAAAGTCTTTTTGGACAAAATCATCACATATAACATATCCAGCAATCCTTTCTATCACTGGAAACACACACACACACACACACCTCTCCATCAGACGGTGTATCATGTACGTTAACACAATCCTCTGCTACTGCACGATGCTCGAGTTCCTGCCTTTCTATCACAGAGTGACAGCACATGTCCGAAGCAGAGGACAATCAATCCATCATCTCACATCACTGCACCATGATGATACTGCTGGTAGATACAGCGGATATATCACTTTTAAAACCTCTGAGCACTAAGGTTTTTTTGTTGCAGTGAGTGGCTTGAGGACACACCTTAAAATATGTATTTTAAAAGAAAAAAGATCTCTGTTCCAAAAAATACAGTCCCAGGGTCCCCGATATGTTTTCAGAAATGATCATTTTCAGGGGTATCATCGATCATACTGCACAACAATATAATCTATTCCATCTCAAAAGTCTTTCTGTGCTGTAATTTATATGCAGAGGTACCATTTTGGTGGAAAAAAATTAGATAGCAATGTGGTGGAACATAAAAGTTATACTTCTTAAGATATATGGATAGTTTCTTTGGCTGCAGATGGAATTAGGGGAGAATTAAGGAGGTTGTTAGCATTAAAGCATTCAAAGGAATTCTCCTTGGGAAGATTTTTCCTTTTTTTAATAGCCTACAAATGCTAATTTCAAGAGACTTCTGAGAAAAGGACCTGCAAGCTCATGGTTTTCCAAAACCATTTAAAAGTTTTCCATGGCATTTATTATATCTTAAATGAATAAAAATGGAATTATATGTGATATGCAGTGTGTTCTCTGTGACCAGGAAACCTTATTTTTAAATTTCAAGCTTCTCTGGGGGGGGCACTGGGACATATTCACTTTACTTTAGTTTGCTTTAATTTTTTCCACAGGTCACAATCGGGCTAAAGAAAGAAAAAAAAATAAAAAACTGCACCCTGGTACAATTTCATTTGAGCCCTGCGGTAAAGAAAATTGAAAAAGATGCTCATAGACAGCATTCAGCTCTCAGGGGCTATGACCCCAAAGTTTTCATCTGACCTACTATGTGAAACAATGGACCATATAACAAGAGAGCTGACTCTGGAAAGCAGGTATCTTTCTCAATTTGTACCCAGCATTTACTTTTACACCCAGCCTGCACTTGGCCAAAGACATTTGGGCTTAGAAACATCTCTCCTCATTATTTATAGTTAGTGTATAACAGCGTAAACTCTGATCAGCAAACACCTCCCCTTCGGTCAGGGTAATGAACCACGAACAGAGCAAAAATTGCAGCACTGTACTTTAGCAGCGACACACTGAGTCAGAGATGACCATTAACCTACGATCCAAACTGACCCTGCTCGCTTGTGTCCTTGCAAAAGCTCAATGACTCACCAGTAAACACCACCCTGTCCCCCAAATAACAGCTGTTGCCCCCGAAGGGCCTCCAACACCGCATTTTTTACGAGGGCACGATTGTCGCGATTTCCAATTTCTGCATCAGTTCACCACTGAAAAAAAAGGTGCTGTGGTTGGCAAGTAGACCAAAAATAACTGACACTGGGGTAAGCCAAGAGCTGTGACACAGCTGTTTTAGAGGACAACTCAACTTGTATGTAAAGCTGTAGCCAACTAATTTCACTGTCTGGTAAGTTTCAGTCAAAGCTTATTAGATCTATACTGAATGACTGGCCAACTATCTTAATGAGCTGGGAGAAAATGGTACTTTTCTTACAACTGTTGGCTCAAAGGGTCAAATTGGGGTTGGCATGGATGGCTGACAGCAGCAAAAATCGATCAATATTATTAACAGGGAGGGATATAATGAATAAACTGTGAAAATGTCTCTTGACTTGCAGCTACAATACTGCCAATACAGTCACAGAAACTGTGACACAAAGACCGTATTTGGGCAACATGAGACAGCGAAATGAGTGTTGATCCTTTGGGGAGCCCTCTGATATACGTTGTCTGACCATTCGGTATAATTAAATGCTCTGACAAAAATCAGCCCTGAGACTTTGCTCTCAAAGCCTGCTTTACTGGGGCTACAGTGACCCCTACTGGAAGAAATTATCCAGACAGACAAACCAGCCTGAATATAATAGACAGACTTGACATAACCTGAGGTCTTTTCAAAAGTGGAATAAATTGAATGAAGTCATTTATTCCACTGATATTTTGTGCAGGTGCAGTCTAAATCCCAATCTGCTTCAGGCAAAACGAAAGCCTGCATTTAATTAAATATGCATCTATTATAATAATACATTTGTAAACAAACTGAAAAAAACAAACAACAATATATCTTAACAATAAGCCAGAATATTAGTCTGTTTTCTCATTAGTCACTGGATGAATGTTGCACATTCAATGCACCCATTTGCTATGTGACATGAAGATTAATTAAAATAAAAACAATAAAAAAATAAATATGATTGTATGTCATACATCTAGCAAGGACAGTTTTACCCCAAAAACAAGATTGTTATGGACCCTAAGAGGTCTGAGTGAGTGAGATAACAGCAGGCACTCTGACCTATGAGGAGGCTGAGAGGAGGCATGCAGGATGGGAAGGCTGACAGAAGCTCCAGGACACTTAGGCTTGGGTCTCTCACATACAGGTTGTAGTCTGCGGTGCCTTGTTTACTGCAGAGCTCCTGCAGTCTCCTCCTCTGCACAGCGTCCCCTGTATGCTCCACCAGCGCTCGAAGAAATGCCTGACAAAGAGGCAGAAATCAGAAGTAAAGTAACTTGGAGACGTTCTGCAGTGATTTGGAAGTTTCCATTCACACTTATAAAAAGAACAGGCATTTAATACATTTTCAAAGACTGCTGGAGGACAAACTTCAATGCCACGTTGTGCACAAGCCGTATAAAAAAAAAACTCTTAGTTTTCTAAGTAAATGAAAACTGTAGTGGTAGACCTTGACACCAATCCACTTATGGAATACAGTCATTTTATTTGCCTCATAAAATTCTCATTTTAGACATTTAAATGTATTTATCACTACAGACAAATGAGCAGAGACAAAGAGGCATTCTTATAATCCTCAAACAAAATTCTTTAAAATCCAGTAATGCAATCAACTCATATGTTAAATGTACAAAAGAAGCTGCTGTTTAACTGGTATTGCATCAGTTATTGTTAATCCTTTGGTAGGCTGTGGTGTTAATTAAAGGATTTAATGGAGAAGTATTAAAATACAACTCCTGAACAACTTTTGGAGTGATTTTTACTTTATTCTGCAACCATCACTCTGATACAGTAATCGCAACTTATTTAAATATTTGTAATGGGTAAGTGTTCTGTATAATTTCAGTGATTCATTATAGTTTATGAGGGCATGTATGGAGAGATTAGTGGCACATTCTTGTAGCTTGCACTGGAAGAATTATTATCCCCATCTTCCAATCCATCCCATATAGACAGAATTTCACCACTATTTGACTAGTGTCAAAAAATAGTGTCTGCATCTGGCACAGTCTCTGCATGGCTTCAGTAATAATATTCATATTTATCTCAATAGAAATGGCAAGCCAGTACATGCCAAGTATATCTTTCTGTATCTGCTGCTGTAGATTATTGGGAATTGCACGAGGCTGAGGTAATTATCTTTCACTATACTAAAAAATCATGAGCATAAACATTATAGTGTTGTAAATGCTTTAGTAAAACAGATTAACTGCTCGGATTACACAGACAGGTGTTGTAAAATAAAACTCTTACTGCCTTGTAAGTCTGTAGTAACAGTTTGACCTGAAACTGTCCATTTGTGTGCAGGAATTTAATAACACAGGGGAGGAAATGAGACACAAGTCTTATATACAGCAGGGAAATGAACTGATGGTAACCGTTACAATCAGGATGTACTACATATACTTATGATACATTATCAATTTGAGCTGAAAAACAGGAGTAATGTTTCCCTTAATGTCACCTAATTCATCATACTGACTAAGCAATATCTTACTGCATCACATATCAAATGTTATTATGCTGTGTGCCATAAGGGATGGTGTGTTGCAAGTGCTGTGTAATTCTGCGCCCTGAGCAATGCTGCATGCTCAGCTAACAATACTTAAAATGTTGTATTGATTAATAAGCAACTGGATTGCTGCCATATTTTCGACATTTTACTAATTGTGTCCCTTTCGTCATTCAGTGTGCTGTTCTCAAAGAATTGTAAATTACTGATGCAGCTCATGCCAGAAGAAAATGAATGGTATTCATTTTGGCCTCTGTAGATAAGAAAGGCTCATTCTTAGGTAACGAAAACACTATGATTCTTATTTTCAGGTGATTATACACTAATGAAAATATACCTATGAATATTATATTATATGAATATATGCTCCTAAATGTTACACACTGGACTTTTAAATAATGAACTTAACTTGCGTGGTAAAAACCTGAATGATGGTGTAATCCTGTGGAAGAAATAACTTGAAAATAGACAGGAAGGTACACAAATTAGCTACTGTCACTGTTTAGTAATATTATTTAAAGTATGCTGCAAATGTAATGATCCGGAGAAACTCGCACATGGAACAGTGTTAGGGACAGTGTTAGGCACTGAGTGCAAGACTGTGACCATTTTACATTTCTGTGCACCAAATGTGTTAATCTTCATTGCCACAGAGGACCAGGCAAGTTATTATTTTCAAATATTGTCATTATTTTAGCCTAGTACCTACACTTAATAAATACAGTCTTGCCTGAGCTTATCAAACCAAACTGTGAACCCATGCAAATTTGTCATGACAGACTATTTGACTACCCATGTGCCTGTTCAGTAAGCATCGTAAAATAAATGGGAACATCCGTGTCAAAATATAATTGCACTTCTTCATGAGATAAAACACACTTTTCTCCCAGTTTTGACAACACAAATAAAAGCTGTGCGCTCTAGCTGGAAAAAAAAACATGACACCTAAAAAATTGTTTCCCCTCTTAATATGCTGATACACTAAAACAACAAGTATGGATGTCATAACAAAAAGTGTCCTGGCCAACGCAACTTAAAAAAGTAGGTAGCTGTATGTGGATATAAAGTACCTTCTTAGGAACGTGTCTAATCTCTAGACACCATGTGAGCAGGTACAGCAGAGAGATGTTCTGGGGAATGTAGGGTGGCACCTGGGCACCTACAACCAAGAAGGATGACACATTTGAGAACTATTATAATGGGGTAGACATGAATGTCACAACATTAAAAAAAAAATGCAATGTTACAATTGTAAGTATAGGGCGCATGTTAAAGTTATTTAACAGCCCCACTTTACCTCTTTTCTTATTGTCTTTACGTAGAGAAATGTGTACTCTGTGGTTCCTCTGTTCATGAAGGCCCAATCTGCGGAGCATGTCCTCCACCTCAGTGCCCCTGTTTGGGCAGAACACATCAAACGAATCTCCTGGCTGATGTGTTATCGTTGGGTAAGCCTAAAAATGTACAAGAAGCATTAAAAGTTCAAATCTCAAGTTGCAATTCAAATCTAAATTCATACTGCAGGTTTAGAAAAATTCAAGCTTACAGAGATGTCCAGCTCTAAGAGTAGGGCCATCTTTACTGAATCTCCTCTGGTCAGCTGAACTGCCCTGGATATGGAAACCTCATAAAGAGTGTCTTTGTTTAACAGTCCATCCATCTGAAAGAAAAAATGTATGACATGAAGGGGTGGATTTACAGTAACAGCACAAATACTGCTTTTATCTGCAGCATCATTCCTCACCCGTTCCACAGAATCCACCTCCTGAAGAGAGACATCCAGGTACAGAGGAGGTAGAGCAGGAACATTGAGTGACGACTCTGACAGCGGCGGCAGGGAGCGTGTCAGTGAGGCTGCCAATTCAACATGAGGAACTCCAGTATCCTTGGTCTTCGTCTCTGGTGCTGATGTAGAAACACTGGCATCACCGTGAGACTGGGAAGCCAACCCAGGGCTCCCTGCAGGAGAAGCTGGCCTGAGATCAGAAACAGCAGTCTGTGTAGCAGAAGCTGAAGGTGAAGCAGCAGATGCAAATTTAGAGACCGGTTCTACGGATGCTCTGACCGACTCGCAGTTCTGGCGCTCAGCGATGCTTAAGAGGTTTAGTTGGACATCTGGTATGGATGAATCAGGAGTTTCCTGTGGTGAATCCCCTGCTTCTCCTTTCAAGTAACCAGTCCTATCAGAAGCCATTTTTGATAAGGCTCCTTTGATTGCTTTCCACAGTCCGTCTAGCCAGGGGTCCACAACCACCTCCAGCCTGGAGAGAAGAGAAGTCCACACGATTATACACACAAGAGTAATAAAAAAAGAGGAAAAGAGACGGTAGGTTAAAGGCAAAATGCTGAAAGTTGGATTTCTATACTTCCTTTCTCTGCAGAACTTACCCTACACCATCATCTGCATATCCCGTTGCATAGAATTGTTTGGCTCCAAGTTCCTGTAGACGACGCTCAATTGTCTTCCCACAGTTGCAGAAATTTGCATAATTTGTGTCTCCTAAAGCTGGAGCATACAGAGGAAAACAGATGAAGATTTTCTCAAGCCAGCAACTCTTTCGAACAGTAAACACTGTGCACTGCTCTGTATTGTAATGACTAACACAAATATGTCCCCCATATTGGAAGATGAACTGCAGGAAAACGCTACCTCAGGCGTTCATAATAGAATTTACCTAAAAGTGCATAGGAAAGGTGTTTATAGTGGTCAGTGGAGAGGGTCTTCTTCTTGATGCGCCTTACAAATCGGAGGGCATTGTCTGGCGGTTCCCCATCTCCAGTAGTAGACACAATAAAGACCACTGGGCTTTTCTCCTTCTCCAAATTGTACTGGAACCAGTTATATGATTAATCAGTGAATGGTGCTTCCACTAAACCCATTCAAACATTGCATTAATATCCAGAAAAATCCATCAGGCAACATTACATTTACTAAGACATTATTGATGTGTTATTGTGTGCCTGCAGCCATGCCTTAGAAGATCTGCTTCGTGGGGGAAAAAAAGGGGATATAATGTGCAACAGCTACCTTCTCATTGTGGCTCAAGCAGCTGAGCTCTGCAACCAGTCCGTGCTCCTCTGCCACCTCAGCTACCCCCTCTGCTATGGACTGCGCTTGGCCCTTCTGAGACCCGTACAGCAGCACGAACCGAGGCTTTACTTCACAAGGCATGCTAGAGCGGAAATACAACATCATTTGTAGATTCAAAAACAATACAGTCCAAAAAAAAACACTGCTAGTGAGCTTATCAAAAACTAAAAAGCATTCCAGCTGCCGACTTGTGTTTGTCATGGATATCTGGGCTTACCTACATACTGCACATGTTGACAAGTGACGGACAGACTGCCACAGAGCAACCCTGAACACCACCATAAAATACCCGGACGTTGCGTCATTATCCAACTGCATGTGGAGTCCAACATGTTATTTATCTTTTCATATCTAAACGCTAAAATCAAAAGCAACCACGCCAAAAAGCTAGCGGAGTTGAATGTTTTTAGCTAAATGTAAGTTACTAATGACTGACAACTAATAATAATCAACTCTGACACGCGAGAGACAAGTTTAGTTACCGACATCTGGATGGTGTCTTTTCGAGCTAAAGTTAGCCTCTTAGAAACTATTATTAGAAGCAGATATAAAGACTATGTGGAGTTCTTGAAGATATATTTTATACCTTTTCAAAACAGCTGTGGAAATTCACACAGTCCGATCCTTCCCATGGAATTTGATTAACACTGGGAATCTCGCGAGATCAGGGCACTCACTGAGATTGAACGTGATCGGAAGATACCAAATCATCAACAAAAAAAATAATTTTAGATCTACTCTTAAAATATGGTGTATGAAAAGATTGTAATAATTTTCTGAGTAATTTCACAGCAGGTCGGTTCATTGTGTGTTGTGTCATTCCGGATAACGGGGTGTTTAAATGTGTATTAAGACACAGTTAACAGTACTTGGTTCCGCCCTCCCCGCCCGTCGAGCCTTCCAGAAGTCGCCGGCAAACCCGTGCGGCTCACAGTTTAGCCACACTCCAGGTTTCCATCGTAAAAACTCATTATTTTATAAGTTGAACTCTTGCGAAGTGTCCATATTCATCGGTCAACATGTCCGCTATGGGGACACTAGCGTTTGACGAGTACGGGAGGCCGTTCATCATCATTAAAGACCAGGATAGGAAGACACGGTTATCCGGCATTGACGCACTGAAGGTACAATGGGCTAGCTAGCATGGCACGTTGGTTAGCAAGTTATTAATTTCCTATTCCTTGCATGACGTTAGATACGTCAAGCGTATACAGTATGTGTTTTTGTATGATGATAAGATTTTTAAGCATACTCTCATCCGACAAGCCGACCTGTTGGTGCAATAGCATTAGAGGATAGCATTAGCCAAATGCTTAACCAGTCATGCTAACACTGAGGCCCATGTGCTTTCTGTAAGGCGTTCAGCTAGTGGGTGTTGCTGCACAAAATGGACATTATGGATGCGCAACATTTACATATTAAAGTTTCAACTCTTTCTCGCAAAAGGCCATTTCACTTTTCTTTGTCTTCGGTATAAAAAAAATAATAATAAAATCTTATTTATCGTACTTAAAATGTGATCTGATGGGGAGATGTTTGTGTTTTGCAGTCTCATATTATGGCAGCCAAGGCAGTGGCGTCAACGCTTAAAACCTCTTTGGGACCTAATGGTGAGTATGAATCAATGCAGTACAGTCACATCTGACGTTAGTATTTAGCTTCTGTGTAACTCAAGTTAAATTTGACTACTGCTTTATAAATGCTATATCCTTTCCACACATAAGTTACGTTAATCTTTTAGCTAAGATCACGCATGTCACTCCTCCTGAACCATTTTTTTCCCTTTTCTGCATCCAGGTCTTGACAAGATGATGGTTGACAGGGATGGAGAGGTCACTGTCACCAATGATGGAGCCACTATTCTCAGCATGATGGATGTGGACCACCAGATTGCCAAGCTTATGGTGGAGCTCTCCAAGTCCCAGGATGATGAGATTGGTGATGGAACCACCGGAGTTGTTGGTAAGGGAAAAGACGACGAGGGGCCTAAGGTGCTTTTATTGGTTGTAAACCTGGATTTATACCTTTCTGACAGGTGCTCTGATGGTCCTAATGTAGGATTTCACTTGTTTATTGTTACATCATAATGCAACCCTAGGTGGATGTTACTGAAAAGAAAACAATACTCTTTTTGAGACAGAGTAATAAATATGCCAAGGCTCCCACTGGAAATGGCTCCTCTAGATAAAATCAACATACAGTGTTACTATAGAGAAGAACATCATTCATTGTCATTCATTGTGAAGCAGCAGACATTTGTGTGAATACATTTTATTCAGGTACTTCATCTTTAGTTATTAACAGTGTTCTCCAATATAATAAAACACAGTATTCATGAGTTTCTGTGAACACCATCTCATGTTCTTGATGATAATTTTAAGCATCCTGCAGTCATATCAAAACAAAACTGTGTGTTTTGGGAATATGCTACATCAAATTTTAATGTATTGGTACCAGTAAAATTGTTGCAGCTCTGAGAACCTGACATATTTCAACCATATTGCAGCTATTATTGATATTGTTGTATCACTGTATTTTCTCCTCCCTCCTCAGTGCTGGCTGGGGCTCTGCTTGAGCATGCTGAGCAGCTGCTGGACCGTGGAATCCATCCCATCAGGATCTCCGACGGTTATGACCAGGCCGCACGTTTTGCCATCGACCAGCTGGACAAAATTGCAGAGACCCTACCCTGCGATCCCAACAACACAGAACCGCTCATTGAGACCGCCATGACAACACTGGGATCTAAAATGTGAGTCCTGAGTTTGTTACTATATTGCTGCAATACATTTTACAGAAATAGTATTTTCTCTCTCTTAAGATTAGATTTGGCAAGAGATAGTTGTATAGTAATACTTTTATTGTGTGACATCAGCTAAAGTATCGTATCTTAAAGTTGAGCTGTTGTCTTCCAGTATCAACCGGTGCCACAGACAGATGGCTGAAATTGCAGTGAATGCCATCCTCACTGTGGCCGACATGGAGAGGAAGGATGTAGACTTTGAGCTCATCAAGATGGAGGGGAAAGTGGGAGGCAAGCTGGAGGACACACAGCTCATCAAGGGAGTCATAGTTGACAAGGAGTTCAGCCACCCTCAGATGCCCAAGGTACAAACATATGATGTCATCTGATCTCTCTCATTTAATTTTTGATTAAACTGATGTCTGACATCCATCTATATATTTTGGAGTTATATATTAGAAGATAACGAGCAGTTAAATGTGAATCTAAAACTATATATTTATTGCATAGAGATGGAGGAAAATGTTTGATTTTAACAGTAATTTGAGTTACTGCTCATAAGGACACTGTTATTTACTTAATAGCTGCGCAGACAAACGCTAAAGGTTATATTGCATTTTCATTATGTGTGACCACTATAATGACGCTAACATCTGTTTGTTTGTGTCCCCCCTCAGATTCTGAAAGATGTTAAAATTGCTATCCTTACCTGCCCATTTGAGCCCCCTAAGCCCAAGACCAAGCATAAGTTGGATGTGACCTCTGTGGAGGACTACAAAGCCCTTCAGAAATATGAAAAGGAGAAGTTTGAGGAGATGATCCAACAGGTTAGTACTGCAGCATTGAAGGTACTAGAAACTGATTTCTTCACATCTACGTTGGCGCATGTGGCTAATATTAATTTTTATTTCTCTTTTAGGTCAAAAGCAATGGCGCTAACTTGGCCATCTGCCAGTGGGGCTTTGATGATGAAGCCAACCACCTTCTGCTGCAGAATGAGCTGCCGGCTGTGCGCTGGGTCGGTGGGCCTGAGATTGAGGTGAGAGATGCTTGACAGAATTCCTCAATGTAAAGTTATTCTTCAACAAAATATTTTCTCCGCCTTTATCACTTCAATCAATTTATTCATATTTAGGATCACACAGTGTTGATGAACAAAAAGTATGAAGTAGTTTTGTTAAGTACCCAATGTCAAATGTGTTTTCTCTGCAGTTGATTGCCATAGCCACAGGAGGCCGCATCGTGCCACGGTTCTGTGAGTTGACACCAGAGAAGCTTGGCACAGCTGGTGTAGTGAAGGAGATCTGCTTTGGCACTACAAAGGATCACATGCTGGTTATCCAGGAGTGCAAAAACACTAGGGCCGTAACCATTTTCATCCGCGGAGGCAACAAAATGGTAAGCGCAAATGTGACTTTTACTGTATGTCAAGGTATCCATTTCCAGTGTCTGTCACTCTTGGTTCACCTTTTCATTTTATCTATCTCATTAGATCATTGAAGAGGCGAAACGCGCTCTCCATGACGCTCTGTGTGTCATTCGCAATCTAGTGAAAGATAACCGTGTGGTGTATGGAGGAGGAGCTTCAGAGATTGCATGTGCTCTGGCTGTCAACCAGGCTGCAGATAAGGTGAGAACCACTAAAACCCACTAAAACCCCCAGATACTGAACTGAGCAAAAAAAAATTAAGTATGGTATTCCTTTTAGAATTAGAATACATGTGTTTCTGACTTTTTCTGCCCCCTTCCTTTCTAGTGCCCATCATTGGAGCAGTATGCCATGAGGGCATTTGCTGATGCTCTGGAAGTAATCCCAATGGCACTGGCTGAGAACAGTGGGCTGAATCCTATCCAGACCATGGCAGAGGTCAGAGCCAGACAGGTCAAAGAGTCCAACCCCTTCCTCGGCATCGACTGCCTGCACAAAAACACCAATGGTGAGGAACCAGCTGTAGGATACTCCCAACACTGCACTTTTAAAGTCAATGCAAGACATGATATCAAATTGCTTCTTTTTTTTGCTCCTACACAGACATGAAGCAGCAACATGTGGTCGAGACCCTGATTGGCAAGAAGCAGCAGATCTCCCTGGCTACTCAGGTGGTCAAAATGATCCTGAAGATTGACGACATCAGAAGCCAAGGAGAAAGCGAGGACTGAAAACCTCCTGAAACAGGAGCTGGGCTTAGTTCTAGAGGTTTTAGGCACTTCCCCGAGCACCATGTCAAAACCGCACTGCATATTGCTATTTATCATTTGATACAAAATGTTCAAGCTGTTGTCGCTATCAAAGTCACCATTAAAATGTTGGTCCGTTGAAAATTCCAGACTTTGTAGTTCTGATTTCAAGCACCAAATATTGAACCTGATGATAATACGTAACATCTTTATTTGTGTATTCCACTTTGGTTGAACTTTACATGTCTTCTAAAACTTGACAATTTACATTAGTTGGCAAGCTGATGCATAAAAAGTGTCATTCACAGTTACCACAGTCTGAACATTCTTTACTGCTTGCGATCTTACGTTAACAAAACAACATACCGCAACCACATTTGTTTTTGGCACAAGAGAAAAGTGCAAAACAATTCAGTTCCTTAATATACATATGTGAACATACAGACCCTCTAAAATGAAATGTACAAGAAACAACTGGAATGTCACCAATTAAATAAAAATCATGACTAACCATCACCATTCTCAGCCTGCTGTAACTAGCACGTCTACATTTACATTTTCGGGTTGTCATCCTGTCTGTATGGTATGTGTAGAAACTTGTACTCCCTGCGCTACTCTGTCTGACCTTTTGTATTTACATGTACTTGTTGAGCCAGTTGAGCATGTCTGTCCTGGCCTCCTGGATGCTGTGTTTGTCTGTGGGGTTGATGTCCTCTCTCTTGCGGTGGACAAACCCGTGAGTCTGGCCAGGAAAGATCTTCACTTGGTAATCGACTGTGCATTTCTCCTTCAGCTTTGCTTCAAGGACACTAACCTGGGGAGGAAAATGATGTAAACACAGGTTACCAATGGTGTACCAATGATGTTTTAAAGTGAAGAGCTGCACCATAGAGGTTCCTTGTGCCATTTCTACTTTTATACTGACAAAAATGATTCATTGCTGGTGTATTTTAACATACCAGGTCTTTTGACGTTGCTGCAAGGGTACCAATTGGTGCTCATGTACCAGTAAGTTCTTGCATACTAACCTGGTCCAGAGGGATGACCTCATCTTTCTCCCCGAAGATGAACAGAGTCGGACTCTTCAGCTCATACCTGTCCTCTCTTTCACGGATAATTCCTGCACAGTATCACATAGGCCCATCATAAAACCACCGCACAGCAACCAATACTCGGGCCTTGCTGCCTGAACTCACAAATCTGAATAGTGTTTGTCCATTTTTAGATGTGAGTAGTCTTTTACTACTGTATCTGTGGAAGAGGTTTGTACTACTGCCATCAAGACACAGTTCTGCACATTTGTGATGTATCTTTTTGCACCAAACAACGTATTTTGTAAACAAAGATTACAGATATCTATGACATACCATAGACTGACACTCCAGCTTTGACCTCTGGATATTGCAGGGCAAGGTAATGTGTGGCAACCCCTCCCCAGCAGAAGCCCACTGCTCCAATGTGTTTGGCCCCACACTGGTCCTTCAGGTAGCTCAGCACTGCATCAACCTCCCTGGGGAAGGAAATACCATGAACAGAATTTCTTGTGCATGCTGAAAAGCTGAAAATGAGCTTTTAGTTACTTGTTGATGTTGGTTGGCTTTCTGTCTTCAAGCCACTCCTGAAATGTGGACCAGTCATGTGATGGACTCCAGGGCTCCTTCCCAACATAAAAGTCTGGACAGACAGCACTGCTCAGAGCAGAACAATGGCAGAAGGAATAACTGTTATTGGCCTACTTACTATCACTCACTGTTTCTGCTATGAACAGTACAGTGATGTTTACTCACATGTATCCGTTTGCAGCCAGCATATCAGCCATGTATCTGGTGTTGGGAAGCTCCCACCCATAGATATCTTGTATGACAATAATGGCTTTGTCAGATTCAGAGGATGGTTTCACTACATAAGCCTTGGTGTGCTCAATCTGGACCTCCTCGCCCAGCCCCCCATAGTCCATCCGATCACCAATATCACAGGGGCATGGCTTGGCTTCATTTGCCATCTGCTGACAGACAGTTAGGAAATCAGCTGATGAGAGGGGGGTATCAGGGTGAATTAAAAATGTCACTTCTCTGTCGTGTGCTTAGACATGGCAGTCATGATTGTGAAAGCGTTTACGCAACAGTGACAAAGCAGTTTCAAAATATAATGTACTTTTTTTTTTTTTTTTTTTTTACAGTATTTCCTCTTATCCGCAACCAAAATCATCTGAAATTCAGTTCATAGAAACAGAGACCTACCGTGTCGTTTCTCGATTTTTCGATGAGAGGAAATAATCTGAAGTCTTGTGCAGGGCTCAAAAAGTTGCAGCCAGGTCGGTGAAAGTGAAGCTGGTGACATCAATGTCAAAGAAAACAATTCCTGCCATGACCTTCAAAGTAAAAGCTGCAAGTTTCTAACAAATTTCCTGAGTAGCAAAGCAAGGGTGCACTCTACATTAAAAGAAAATGTCATATACAATAATTGTCATAAGAAGTTATTGTCAAAATGTTTTCCTTATATCTTTGTGGTCTACTTCTTTCTGTCAATCCAACCATAAACCATCTACACATTGAAAATTACTCTAACAGATTAAACAATACAATACAACCGGTTGAGTGCCATGAAGAGCTTCTCTGCACAAAGGTTGACCAGTTACTGACTGGATCCTTTTACAGCAACCCAGAAAACATAGTTAAATTTAGATGATCATTTCACCCTAGTTTAATATTTGGGACCTACATTTCTGACCAAATAAAAGCCCACTGCTCATGAAAGAGACATTTAGATATTGTGCAGCTTGTGTTCTTTCCTTTGTCTTAAACACCACAGTTTACATGCATTTTAAATGCCCTTACGAAGTGGATTTCACTTTGTCTTCTCCCTCTATATGGTGCGTTACATTTAATTCTTGCAGTCAACATTAACCACCATACATCCGGTACCTTCAACTGTTCCTTGCTGGCTTGACCGAAGACTTTATTCAACGTTTCAGAGGGTCAAACAATGACAGAAAACAGCCTCTATGTTTGTTCCTTGTAACGCTGGTTAACCTCAGACGTGTCTCTCAAAAGGCACCGCTGGGATTCGAACCCAGGATCTCCTGTTTACTAGACAGGCGCTTTAACCAACTAAGCCACGGCGCCGCTGACCGATGGCATTAATACCAGAGAAGAATTTTCTTCCAGGCCCCGTGTTATTGTCTATTTATTGAGTTGTAAAAGTTTAATAAAAGCTATGATTCATTTGCTTACTTTCGTTTCCCGAACAAGGCTCATTGCCGATCTGCATTATCCCTACGATACAGTACAGGCTTATCATATCACCACAAGCCAGGGGGTTAAGAGTTCAAACAGGGACACTAATGGATTAATATTGTCCATGTAGTCTTTTACCAAAAACAGTAATGGGTTATGGTAGGGTTAAAAGATGGGTCATGGTAATGGTACGGTAATGGTAAAACATAGAAAGAGTGATTCATTGGAACTAAAATAAAATTAATCATTATAACTGAGCTGTCAAAGAGAAGGAAAAGTGTGCGGAAAGGGTAGACACATGACTTCCAGATAGACAGAGCAGTTTCAATGTAAAATGTAATAAATGAACTGGAGACTAATTAAAGCGAGTTCCAAATGTACAAATTACATTTTTAAAAATCTTTTAAAAATTGTTTTTCGTAATAAAATACCCACATCAAAGAAGAAACTTCTCACAAAATGGGCCTCACTCAGTATTTAAACCTCAAACTCTTCTTTGGTTTAGAACAAAGGTGCAAGTCAATTGTTATATAAAAGTTGTGGGTTCGAGTAGTATCCTGCAGATGTCGCTGTTTAACATATATTAAATATTTGATACCCACTTTTACAGAAAGTAAAAGCGAAGAAATTAAGAACATGTTCTCCAATGTAGATACAGACGTACATTTTAATATGTATCATGTGACATAATTATAATCCTAAAATACACGGCAAATTGTACTTATAGCGTTTCTTTCACTAATCACGTGACGGTTGTTATGGAAGTTCCCCCCCTGCCGTAAAGCTTGCACCGCTGCGGTAAAGCAAAACTGTTGTGACAGGAGCTAGCAGTGACGTTAGCGCATGCGTTAGCCAGCTCAGCTAGCCGATTGTCTCCCCGGTTCAAGCTGTCATTTCAGCAACACGGAGGATGTAACGTTTCTCAAGTTTATCGTTTTACATTAAGGAACACACCGTTAAAACAAAAACCTTGTTCAACGACGAGCACAGACTGGATGTGAGCGGACACAACGAAGCAAGTGCTGGTGGTGAAGAAGTCTGTGGGGAAACCATTTTATGATTGTCAATGCATCCGACACATAGGGATACACTCGTCTCGTTAGCTTAATTTAGCTGGCTAAACGATATCGTCTGTGTCGTGGATGGGTTCGTCGAACAAGGTACTCCTGGAAGAAACGGTGACCGGTGCTTAGCGAGCAACATGGATACTGCCGAAGAAGGTAAATAAGCAAAGGCGTCGGTGGTTGCTCCCCGGCTCGGGTTTACCAGCGTTAGCTTCGTTAGGTGCATCACAGAAAACCAAGCCTGCTGTTGAGCTGGCCTGCTAGTGGTTAACGTAGCTAAATAGCATAGCTTCATAGCCTGTCAGTGTAGTGTGAGGTTAATACAGGGAGATGGGGGATGACAGCTAAACGTTGTTATAATGCAGCCGAGCTCAATGTGAGAGCTTAACTGTGAGGCGGCCATGTAGAGTAGTAGCGAGTACTAGAGAGCCTAGAAAGGGCTAGAGGTTGCTGGTGATGTCATCAGTCTCCTGATGTATGGCCGTATAGATAAGGACAGGTCTCCCGTGTAAACTCACTTAAATGTATACCTCTTCCTTATGCAAGAATCTAAAATTACAGTCTTTATGCAGCTGGATTAGATTCCACCATTCAAAAGACACCTGTCTGTTAAAACAACACAGTCCTCCTGCTCTCTGTCTGCACATCTCTGGTTTACTCTGCCTTTGGTGATAGGTATCATAATATATATCACTTGTGTTTGTGTTTGTGTGTGCAGCGGATATTTGTCGTGTGTGCCGCTCTGAGGGGACCCCAGATAAACCCCTGTACCACCCTTGTGTCTGCACTGGCAGCATCAAGTTTATCCACCAGGAATGGTAAGTCTGTTTGGCTCTTCTAGCTGTCTGTATTGTGACCTCCCATTTTCTTCTCAGACGTCCCCCCTACCCGGAAAACGTCCTCCTTATGTAAACATTTACATGTGCACAAAGTGCCTGTGACACTAATGTGAGGAATTAGGCTAAAGGTTGGACACTGTTAACTTGTTGCAGTAGTCACTCCATAACTTTAGTTTACAGTACCCCCCCCCCCCTCATACTCCCATCAATGAACCTAATCAGTGTTAGTGTTCCTGCGCATGGTTAAAGTAAAAGTGAAGAAACCTGTAGTTGTGTTAAATGCATGCATTACAATGTATTTCTAAAGTAAGACAGTATAATGGTTCACATATTTACATTTTATTTCCAACCTGGTGGCTCTATGCACATGAGCATAGAAACCCAGGAGAGTACTTGGTTTCATGAGAAAAATCAATGTAACCTAGAACAAAGGAACCTGCGTAAAAGAAGCCAGGATCTGTGTTTACGTGCATTCATTATAATAGGACTGATACAATATGGGGATTTGTCATATCACAGGGTGTTTCCTAAGTAGTTTGATAAGTGACAAGTTGTGCTCTGTTATTACTTCAATAGTGGTGGCGTAATAGCAAATGTAATTGATGGATGATGAAAGGATGCAGGTTAATGGCCTTTAGTGTGGTATTGGCCTGGTGAAAACAATACCAGACCCTGCAGGTATTATGGAGATAGAGCTTTGTTCTCATTTGTGTGTGTGAGCGTCACTGGTTACAAGAGGGTCAGGTGCATGGAAATCCCCAGGCAGAAGCAGAGGCCAGGTCTGGATTGTTCTGTGGTAATTGTTGAACCTCTGTATCCACATCAGTTCACAATCACCCCCACAAAGTTTAGGATAACAGTCTATTGTGTGTAGATAGTATAGTTTTGAATGTATGCAGGCGGCTGCTAACCTAAGTTATCTTTGTCTTATTTTTATGGCACCCTTAATGTATTAGACTGCGGAAATGTCATTATTCAGACTTACATGGGCATTGATGTGTCGGTGAAATTCATAATGCTTAAATCAAGGAATTTGAGTTTATTAACCAGATCGTATGGCCAAATTCCTACGGAAAGCCTGGCTCAGAATCAGAATCAGAAATACTTTAATAATCCCCGTGGGGAAATTACTTGTAGGGGGGGAGGAAAAGGGGGAGAAAAACAAGAGGAGAGGGGAGGAGAATAAAACAGCTCCCAGACTCTGCTCCTGTAGGGGAGTACAGTGTGGGACTGGGAAAAAAAAACCTCAGCAACATAAGCACATATGAGCACACTTTACAACATAAAAACTCAAAACAACTTGCAACGGGGGAGGTTGGAAAGGGGGGTGGAGGCGTACCAGTGCAGACAGGCAGCTGTATCGGCGCAGCGAGCGGAACCCCGCTTGTCGCACTGAGGGTAAAAAGCGGCGGGGGGGGTAGAGGGGTGTGTTGCATATGCGCATGTGTAAGTGTCCATGGGTGCGTGTGTGCACATTAGCCTGGAGAGTCACTTCGTCTAGCCTCTCAATCAGTGCCTCAGTTCACATGGTGTCATCGCGATAACACAGCAGGTTGCCATGGAGACGTCCCTGATCGGGTCCTAAACAGAGTCAACTATCAACAGGTGTCCGTGTGGGAAGGGAGGGAGGAATAGGGCAGAGCGTCTCACTGCAGCGATCTCCTGGAGGAGTTGTTCCAGCAGTGGCCTTGGCCAAGGCCGGTGCTACTGAGGGCCAGAATGCAGATTAGATTATGATTGTTTGGGTGAGGGCGAGTAATCGCATTTCAATAGACACAACTTACTCTGATTGTCCATTCTGGTCTTCAAATCGATTCATTCTCCTTTGCAAAGCCGAAAACTTCTCCAAAATGTTTTCCATGTTGCGGTTTATACCCATAGTCTGAGCGTTAACAGCTCTGCTCACTCCATCAGTCATGTCGGGCAGCTTCATGGGGCTTTGGACTGCTGACACCGTCTTCCGAATTTTCCGATACACCAGGGCAATGCCTAATCCAATCAGAAGATAGCCTGTTATCATGGTTCCGAATATGTAGAGATCCTCGATGTCCTCTACGGAAAGAATCGCCAGGCACACGACCCTCCACTTCTCCCAGGAGTCCATCGTGTAACCAGCGGCAAACGTTCCTTCAGGGCAGACAGGTTCCCCCGAACCCGAGCTTCTCGCCGAGAAAATTCTGTCGATTGCGTTGAGAGACCAGTTGACCAA